TGAGGGCTCCACAGCTGGACGCAGCACTCCAGGTGGGGTCTCACCAGAGCAGAGTACAGGGGCAGAATCCCCTCCCTCGACCTGCTGGCCACACTTCTCTGGATACAGCCCAGGATACGGTTGGCTTTCTGGGCTGCCAGCATACACGGCCGGCTCATGTTCAGCTTTTCATCCCCCAGCACCCCCAAGGCCTGCCCAGCTGAAGGAAGAAACTAAATGGACCCATGTTAAGAGAGCACAGAGAGGAAGAGCTGTTTATGCTCAGCAACTGGGGGAAAAAAGAAATAAAATATTAAAAAATAGTAATATTCAAGCTTCTTACCCTGGAGGCTCATCCTGGGCACTGGCACCTGAAAGTCATGGCCCAAACTTGCTTAATTTAATACACTGTCAACAGAAAAACTAGTCTTTCCCAGCTTTGGTCATCACCCAAAGGCCGCCCAGGTTGCTGCTGTACAAGGCCACCAGAACAAGATCTTCCAGGTTGCCAGCTGTGTGGTCTTTCCAGAAGAGAAGCGTGTGCCAACATGAGGAAGCCCCCTGGCAGCAGACTCCTCAGGAACATGCGGCTGCTCACGGCTGTCATCCACGGCAAGTTAAGGTCCACAGGGAGGCCTGGTCTTCGTCTGATTTGTGGGAGCAGCTCAGAAGTCACAGCAGAAGAGAGACAGACTCCCTGATGCAAGTCAGTCTGGCATAAAAAGATTTCTGCCCTTTCCTGATCCATCGAGTTTTTTTAGAAGATTTCAAATCAACATCATCAACCTTTTAGTAAAAGCCACTGATTTTTCCTTGGTTTCTGAGTAAGTTCCCAATGCCAAAAGCATGCACAACTGCCGATTCATGTGCATCAGGAACTTGTGATCTCTTCATTCTCTCTTGCTGTCAGTCACCACAGCGCTTGCTGCGGGCTGAGAAGTCCTGAAAGCAAGCAGAAAAATAAAAGGCAAACACTGATGACAGCAGAGGCAGAGCAGCTGGTTTTAACACACTCATTGTATTTTGTAAAATCAACCTCCCTGATGGCACAAACATGATCAACACTGCAGGCCTTGTCGCATGGGGTGAGGTCGTATCTGACAGAGTTAAACTCGTAGTACTGCTGCAGATAGTGTGGATCCTGTGATATCCTCTCCAGCACTGTTTGCATGGAGCGGGCAGAGCCATCAGGGACCTGAAAGGCCTCTGTCAGTCTATACTCTTCTTCCCATGCTGGGGACTCTTCCTCCCATGTTGAGGCCATCATGTTGGCATGAGTTAGGTTCAGGTAGTAAGTCACCATATCCTGCAGGGAGAGAAAAGCAAAACGAGGACAGATCAGGAAAGGATCAGCCCTTGAGCAAAATGTTTGGCTAGGGTGTGATCAGCCCCTTCTGCCAGCACCACAGTGACGGAATACACCACATGGATTCACTGCAGGCAGCGCATCTCCCTGCCCAGCGAGGGGTCAGCTGCCTCCCAACAAGTGTTTTCTACCGAGATGGGAACGTGGGGGACAGACACCTCCGGCAAGAGCCTCCAGAACTCGCCACAAAAGCATACTGTTTCGTAAGGGATGAAGGGATGGCTTTTCTTTGCTTGACTTTTAACTCCAAGCATCAGGAATTTTGAGCCTAGCCTGCTTCAAGATCACTCTGTCATTTCATATCAACACTGTCCACTGGCAGAGGCAAGGGTGCAGTAGTGTTACCTACCAGGCAAACTTATTTTCTCAACTGTGAACAAACTAAAGTTTTTCACAACTCTGTTCAAAGTCTCTTGCCTTTTTTCTCTCTGTTTCACTAGCTCCCCAGCCTTCCACAGTGTATTTTAGCATTTTTCATGCTATAAACATGTAAACAGAGCACCTACAGAGCTGCTTTATCCATTGCAAAGAAAGGCACAAACCCCACCCTCTACCTCTTTGCATAGGAGAGAGAAAGGTAACAGAAGCTGCCCCTACAACTCACCTAAATTCACATCCATTACAAATGAATCAATTTTACAAACAGGGGGGACCTAAATAATTTTCTAGAGAGTTAAGTTTTTGGAGGGGTGTGACAAATCTGCATTCCATGTTACCCGGGTAGTAAAGCAAGTGTCAAAGGAAAGTAGCTAAAGGCTACTGTGACAAAGCCTGTCCTGCACTGCCCTGGGGAGCTCATCCCAGAAGGCCCAGACGAGCTGACTGCAGTCGTCGTGCCTTTACTCACTGGTGCTCTTACTAGGCCTTTGTGCTAGACAGGAGGCTGAAAGATCTCGGCTGAGGTCCCCTCCTACGTAGCCGCTTGGCTCCTGCCGTCCTGCCTGTCAAAACCACATGGAGGAACTAAAGCATCCTTCTACAACTGCAGTGTGCAGCACATAGGGATCCCCTACCAACACCTGAAGGGTGTCTGGATCATAGTCGATCACCCGAATCCCAGGGTTGTTGGCTCCATTGTTCACTCCAGGTAGTGTTGTTTTCCAGGGAGTCACTCCAGGGGCCAAGAACATCACATTGATTGGAGAACCTTAACAGAAAGGAAAACCAACCCATGAATGGGACACCCTGGCTTGTATCACACCCTGTCCTCGCTGCAGTGAGCACCCCAGGAACCGCTCACACTGCCAACAGCGACTTTGTCACCAGTCCTAGGTACCACAGACACATGAAGACCAACACACTGAATGGCATCAGGGATTGAACATGGACTGCTCCACTGCTTTCCAAGACTCTTGCAGTGAGGGTGTGCAAGAGAACCATGCTCAGCAATGGAGACCCAGAGCACTACTCATAACCCCAGTGCAAAGGTTTGTAACTGCTGCCTTATGGCTCAGCTACTGTCCAAACCCCATCAACAGGGAGCAGGCAAGAAGTTGCAAGGCATTAAGAGGAAATAACAAAATATGAAGGTAAACAGGAAGGAGGGCTGGGCTATAGGCTGGTGATGGAGATCAGAACCACTGTTGTCTCTTGTTGACCAAAGTATTTTAGAAGCCTTTTCTGCCTTCTCAGCTGCAGTCAGCTAAAAGTCTCATCGACAGTGGTTTGCTGGGGGTTGGCAGAGCTCTCATGCAAATGCTTGGGTGGTCAGGACTGGTACCTGTATCACTGTAAAACATGCGAAAGCTGTCCGTGTGATGGTGCCCAAAAAACTGGGCAGCAATCACTCTGTGGTGCTTCTGCACAATTTTCAAGTAGCGTTCATTAAAGCCACTCCGGAACCAGGGCTTGCCTCGTTTCTTCTCAAAGAAGCCAGGAGGGACATGCCCCACGATGTAGACCTACAAAAGCGAAGAGCCGCACTGTGCACAAAGCCCATGCTTCCCACAGAGCACTGGTTTGCTGAGACTGCACAGGGGGGAGGAACAGGGGTAATAAGAGCTTCCAGGCTGGGAGAAGCCCTCTACAAAGTGTCTGTATTAATTTCTTTTAATACCATTTCATCTGCTCTAGAGGCATTGGTCAGTGTTTCTTCCAGCCACTGGAACTGCCCTCCAGGATCTTCCTCACCAGCTGTCTTGTCGTTCTGGTCATAGTACAGGTTGGTATTGAGGACAACCATTCGCCCCCTTGTCCTCGGGCCAGGCAGCTTCTCACTGTAGAAAGCTC